ATCATCAATATTTTCAAAAATAAATTTGAAGTGTTAAGGGAAAAATTAGGGATTTGCCTGACTGGGAATTTATAGCAGTTAATTTGTTGTGGGAATACTATTCAAGTGCATGTATGTTCCCAAAAAAACAAAGAGAGGGTTTCAAAGTCAATCATTTCAAATATGCCTAAGCCGCTCTCACGCACGCTTACTCCATATTGTGTCATTCTTCATAAACTGTTTCATCTCCCATCTCAAACTCAGACCTAATCTTGCATATTTTTCTTCAACTCTCAAGTATTCGAAGATATCTCACCAACATTCTTCAAAGGGTGTATCCAGGAAGGAGGATGTCTCATCATCTGCATCTAGGGCTGAGTCTGTGAAGGTGTCTATTGAAGATGCTATTGATGTTGCTCCTTTGGCAATGGTTCCTTGCAAACCTGACAAACTTCCTGTGAGAAGATCAAGGAACCTACCTGCAGGTATTGTCTCAAAGAACACTAATTCATTCTTTAACCCTAGAACTAAGAAAGAAAATTTTGACACCGATAAGAGAATCGGTAAATTGGTAGCTAGAACTTTAAATATAGGGGGTCATGTTAATATTGTTGGGATTACTAGACCCATTGCTCAAATTCTGCATACTACCATTTTTCCTGATACTCAACTAGAGGTAGAGATTGAGAGAAATATTGATGCTGAGATTGAGGGTGAACAGAATAGGGTTGAGGTTCCTGGTCATGAAGGGTCAGAGGGGAATTTGCACACTCTTGTTGATTCTGTTGTAGAAGATGTTGTTACAAATGTTGGATCATCCCCTGTTGTTAAAGGGTCTCAGTCTAAGGGTCAAGCCTCTAAGGTATTGTTGAGGACAGTGGGAAGATTGTTGATTAGGTTATCAATGTAGATGTCTTTTCCTCTGATAATGAGATTATTTCCAAAAGTCTTCACCCTGGTGTTGCTAAGAGGCTGAAGAGTAGAAAAGGTAAGGATGTGGTTATGGAGAACACCCTTACCAAGAGCTCCAAGAAATCTGTTCCTGGTCTTTCTAAAGCTTTGAGCAAGGTTGTGACTGTGTCCAAGAAGAGAAAGGCGTTGTTTGATAATAAGTCAGACTATGATGTTGAAGAAAATGTCCAGGATATTATTCAAGTCAAGAAATTTGCTTCTAAGAAAAAGTCTGCTGCTACTCCTAAGGTCCCTTTGGACAATGTGTCCTTTCATGCTACTGAAAATGTGGAAAGGTGGCAATTCGTATACCAAAGGAGGGTTGCCTTGGAAAGGGAGTTAGGGAAGAATGCCCTACACTGCAAAGATGTGATGAAGCTTATTGAAGCTGCAAGCTTAATGAAGACTGTCACAAAATTTGGTCCTTGCTATGAGAATCTAGTCAAAGAATTTGTGGTGAACATTCCTGAAGGCTGTGATGATGTTAACAGTGAAGACTACAAGAAGGTGTATGTCTGAGGAAATGTTGCAACACTTTCTTCCACAGTTATCAACAAGTATCTAGGAAGATCTGAAGATCCTCAACCTGAGTTTTAAGATACTAATGATCAGGTGTGTCATGAGATCACCTGTAATACTGTGAAGCATTGACCTAGAAAAGGAAAACTTTCAACTGGGAAACTTAGTGTGAAGTATGCAATTATTCATAGAATTGGTACTATCAATTAGGTTCCCACCAACCATCTCTGTTGGGCTTGGGAAGTTCATATATATTGTTGGTAAAAAGAGGAAGTTTGATTTTGGTGCTTACATTTTTTACCAATTTCTGAAGCAAGCTTCATCAACTTCCATTAAGATGCTTATCTGCTTTCCTTATATCATTAATGGTATTATCTTGGATCATCATCCTGATATCTTGGATCATCATCCTGATATCTTGGTGTCTGCTTATTATGCAATGAAAAGGGAATCTCCTTTGACTCTGCACTATAAGTTGTTTGTTGGGGATCATGTCCCAGATCTTGTTTCGACATCTGCTCAAACATCTGCTCCTGCAACCTCAAAGGATGATATTATTGCTCAGCTAAAGAAAAATTGAAAGGACCTAGATGTTATCATCAAGCCCAGTACCACTAGAAAGACAAAGCTTGAAAAATTGATACAGACCTTGACAGCTGAACAGGACAAGGAAACTGAAGTTGCTGGTGGTACAGATACTACTGAAATGGATGCAGAAGAAAATGTTGTTGTTGATGGTGTTGCTGATGAAGATGTTGAGTCAGATGATGATGACCTTGATGGTGAAGAAGAAGAAGACGGGGATGATGAGGCTACTAAAGATGATATTTGATTGTAGCTTTATTCTTTCTTTCTTTTTTTGCAAGGGGTGAACGCCCAGGATATTTTTAGCACTTCATGTGCTAGTTTTGTACTTTAATCTTTTGTTTTGTTGGTGTTATTGTTTGGTTGTTCCGTTAGTTATCTACCTTTGTGATATTATGGCTAAAAAATGGGAGTAATACTAAGTTAACTAATTGCTAACCTCTGGCTTCTGTTTTAGGGGGAGAGCTAACCTTTTGTTGTAGAAGAAGGATCTGATTAAGGATGAGGCTGTAAGATGTTGTTTTTCCGCTGTTGTTCTGATTTTTGCCTCGGATTTTTTTGTGTGCATGAGTTATTTAGTTAGTTTTAGCCAAAATCTGGCAAAGGGGAGATTGATAAATCCAAGCTTTGGAGATTGACATTAATTTTGGTAAAACTAATTTGTCAACAAGATGTCCTAACATGAAGAACAAACTGAAGAACAAGAAGTTGGACAAGATGTCCTATCATGATGATTTGACATCTTTATCTGTTACTTTGCAGTTTTGAAAATTGTTGTTTCATTTCTAGATTTCAGAATATTTTGGGAATATTTGTTTATCCTAGGTGGCGTTCAAGATTGAGGAATCAGAGATTCTGTTGGAATCTGAAGACGTTGTTTTCTAAGTGTGGAGACATTTTAGGAAACTTTGTATTGAAGAAAATTATTCTTTTGGAGAATAAGTTGCAAATTCTGTGTAACAGAATTGCTGCGTTTTTAAAGCCCAAATTCAGACTAGTTTATGATTATAAATAGGATGGATTTAACCTAATCAAAGTGTGAAAAAATACGTTGCTGCTTAGTAAGTTTTAGGATTTGTGTATTTGTGAGCCTCTCTTGTATCGTGTTGATACTAGAGTTGGACTGTTTGCATTGAGTTGTAATTTATATCGCTACTGTGATTGAAAGGAAATTGAGAAGGGTCTCATACCTAGGAGAGTCTTAGGTAAAAATTAAGCACGGGTAGTGATTAAGTGATAAGTTGTAAACCAGAGCTTGTTTAGCTTAGAATTAATACTATTTAGTGGATTTCATTTCTAACTTGGTAGCCCCCAGACGTAAGTGTTGTTGTACACCGAACTGGATTAACAATTATTGTGTATTCGTTTACTTTCTGCATTTTTATTGTGCTTCTTCTAGTCATTGTTCTTAACAGAAATCAAGTGTCTCAACATCTCTTAAGACATATGTGATATGCATATCAAAATTTCAAATATATTATTTATTTAAATTATTAATATAAAAATAAAAAAAAGCTATATTTCACTGTCTATAACTTCTTACAATTTCTCACAACATGTTTTAAGAGATGAGTCAACTAAGAAACTATTGAAATATACAATTCATATATTTGTTACATACTCTATCTTTAATCAGTTAGATAAACTTAACATTTTTTTTTATATAAAACTAAGAATTATTATAATATATAAAATACATTTTTAATAAAACATATATAAAATACATATGGCATGGGTAGTTTATAAACTTAAAAGAACATTAATATATCTTTAAAAAAATATTTGACAGTAAATATAAAAAATACGAGACAAATATTTATCATTGATAATTATAAATAAAACACACTTGACAAGAAATTATCAATAAAAATATTACCAATCCATTAGTTGCATTATTAAGTATTAAAAAGGTTAGGGGTAATATTTGTAATGATACTGTTCTGGCCTGGGCCCCGGGCTGACCACGCGGGCCCAGCCCAATAATGTCCCACCGGGCTCTATCCAGTCCAGGTACCGCGTCGGGCACGAGGTCCCCGACAAGTCAGAAAGGCCTCCCTGCGAGGAAGGCCTACCCCAACTACGTCGGACTGGAGACTCCCTGTTCGGCGAACTCTACCCTCCGAGGACAAGATCTGCCCCCCGCGGGCAGAACCTGCCCTCCCGTCGGGCAGGACAATGTGTCCTTCACACGTTCTCCACATGCTCCCCTCCGCGGGGACACGTTACCTAACCAACTGCCCACCTCCGAAAGAGCAGGTCAAACCCACTTTCCGGAGATCACGGGACAGTTGAACTAGGGCGAAGACCATGTTCTGGTCTTCATTACGCCGCGTAAGCCCTAGCAGTCACTTGGGTTGGGCTTGACCATCCAGCCCAACACAAACGACCGTTGGCCCGGCGCTGGGGTCTCTCTATAAATACCCTCTTTCACAAGAGGGTCAGGTAATTCACATCTTGCCCTTTCGGTACTTTGCTCTCACTCTGCCCAATTCCTTACTTTGGCATCGGAGTGTCTTGCAAGTACACCCCCCTTCTCCTCCTCATCACCTGTGAACAGGTAGCAGTCCAACAGTGTGTGGTCAGCCCGTGAGAAACACTATTCTTATTATAACACTAAAAAATACATTACACTTTTTTCTTATTAATTTAAAAAAAAAAAGCATGAAACAGAATTTTTTATCGATATATATATATATATATATATATATATATATATATATATATATATATATATATATATATATATATATATATATATATATATATATATATATATATATATATATATATATATATATATATATATATATATATATATATATATATATATATATATATATATATATTTCCGAAAAACTTTTTTAAAAGGGAGTTGAACCAAATTAGGAAATTAGATTTGCTTATAATATAAAAGATTAATCAAGAGGGAAGTGTTTGGAAATGATAATCAATATTCACATTGGTATCTAAATAAAAATATTTCCATCTCTAGAACTCATTAAAAACCAAACCAAAATCCCCACAGCCAAAACATCTAACCCAAACAACTTCTCTTTGCTGAATGCATCACTCTTTTCTGTAGTACTGTTTGCATGAGTGGTTGCTCCATGTGAAGAACTTGGTGCAACACTAGGGCCAATATTTGTGGAGCCATTCTTCAAATTATAAAAAACTTGAGCCTCAGTTGATTTCGGATTCATGTGCAGCAGCTCTAATTCCATTAAAAATTAAAAAATTATTAGTAACTGAAGCAGACATATTAACTTTGACATATTAATACCGATAATAATTATAAAAAAATGAATAAATTGTTTTCTCATGAAGTGTTTGAGGTAACGGAATTAAAAAATATTACCAGGACATTTAGAGACATTGGCAGGGGCATTACAAACTTTAGGAAGATTCAAAGCCAAAGTGACATTAATTACAATACCACCCAAATCAGGATCATTACGATCTTTGATAATCAAACACAAACACTTTTCGTTTGTTTTAAGAAGTGTCTTGAGACCATCACAACAATCTGTTGCTGGTGTTTTTCCTTCACCTTCAACATAAGGTAGACATGTTGCTAGACTTGCCAATTGTGGTGTGCATTCTTGTTTGTCTTTCGATGAATCTGACATTCCAATTCCTATTATCATTGATGATAGTAGAAAGAAATGAACCATGGAGTTTGTGTTGTGGTGGAGCATTTTGTTTGTGTGGTGTTGAGAATTTGGGAAAGTGAATGTGTGGAAAGTAATGTGAGATTGGAAGTACTTAAATAGCATGTTGTTGGTGAAGAATGTTGTTTATCATATCTTACATAAAAAATGTGATACCGACATTAGAATTAAAATTATGACTTTTATATTTTTTAAATTATTGTTGGTAATTAATGTATGTGTTGTTGTTGCTTGTAATGTTGCATTTTTCTATTGATCATTTTTATGAAAATATTTAATGGATAATATGAAGTAGGGTAGTCTTGAATTGAAATTGAAAAAGGAAAGAAAGGAATGGTATGAACAAAACTAGAAAAGTGCACTAAGTTAGTGAGTGGATCACTACACCAACCCACTAAGAGAAACAGAGTGAAGCAAATTATGGCTTCTTGTGACATCTATGGATGACAAGTGCCTACAAAACGTGAAATCATATTACCTTATGATGACCTCATACAAAATTGAAAATTTGAATAGAAATTAGAAAAGGATTCAATCACTTTTAATCGAAAGATTTCTCCATCCTTTTGAAGTAGCATAGTTAATGGCCTTCATAATACCATAAAGCTCGTGTTAAAAAGTAGCAATGGTAGTATTAGATGAGAAAGTTTCTAAGTAGTTGTTTATATCATCTATGAAAATTCCACCACAAGTGTATTACTTCATGATGATTCATTTGTATTATATTTTATCCATTGCGGTCATCGGGACGCCAATTAATCTGAATGATTTTAATAGAAGGAGGAGGACGATAACTTATATTACAAGTTGAGTATGATCCATTCCTTCACAAAAAAATATATGTGGCCCTTTAAAAGTGTTGAAGTCATAGCATCTGCAAAAAGACCCCGCCTATGAGTTACAGATAAGCTCCAGACGAAGGTTAGGTCCTCATTGATCATAGCAGCTCCAAATTCTTTAAGATGCTTGTAACACTCTAAATTCTAAAATTTATATAAAAATAATTACTTAAAAATTTAAGATGTCACTTCGACAATTAACGACTAAAACTTTCTAAAACATTTAATAACATGCATCAGAAAACTTTAAATTGAACTTCTCAAATAAATTATTAAACTTTAACATCACAATTCGACACCAACTCAAAACATAACAAAAGTGCTCGTCTCCGATGTTACAAAATTAGAGCATTAAACCACTAAAATACAATAGAATGATAAATAAACAAAGGTAGGCTCCAAGACACTATCTTCCACTAACAACAACAAAACTCTACTTATGATTATCTGCAAGAGGTCCACGGTGAACAACATATAACAAAAGGGGTGAGAATAAAGTTCGATATAAAACGGTGTAAAGAATTTGAAGGTAGATAAACACACAACATATCATGCATTCAATACACAAACTGCACCATTACAATCTCACACCTTTTCCATCATAATATATACATATGCATGAATGTGACTAAAGACATTTTTACTATCTATGTGGTACCAATCAACGATGGTTCTTCATACGAACTAGGTTCACCCTTCTGAACCCCGAGTCCATCCTTCTAGACTCGGGACAACTTACTCGTGCACTCTTCTAAACTCGCAACTCGCCTCTTTCACATCAATGACACCAATGATGTATGACATACAATTTATGCAACAATAACAATAACATGTTAATGATCCCCCCTTTTGAACCTTAAACAACATACAACATAGCAACAATGTAGTTTCCTCTTCAAAACTACCACCACAATAAACAACGATTATGTACTCTCCACATATGGGTGGAAATATGCCAAACCGACTAGCAGGGGCCTACGATCTAGCCTACATAGGCTCAGGTCAGGCCAGACTTTTTTTTAAATAGAAAAAGCTTAGGCCTTTTTATAAGTTTATTTAGTTAAAAAGGTTAGGCCTCAGGCCATAAAAAAATATTTTCCATCATAATATATACATATGCATTCAATACACAACATATCATGCATTCAATACACAAACTGCACCATTAAAATCTCACACCTTTTCCATCATAATATATACATATGCATGAATGTGACTAAAGACATTTTTACTATCTATGTGGTACCAATCAACGATGGTTCTTCATACGAACTAGGTTCACCCTTCTGAACCCCGAGTCCATCCTTTTAGACTCGAGACGAGTTACTCGTCCACTCTTCTAAATTCGTAACTCGCCTCTTTCACATCAATGACACAAATGATGTATGACATACAATTTATGCAACAATAACAATAACATGTTTATGATCCCCCCTTTTGAACCTTAAACAGCATACAACATAGCAACAATGCAGTTTCCTCTTCGAAACTACCACCACAATAAACAACGATTATGTACTCTCCACATATGGGTGGAAATATGCCAAACTGACTAGCAGGGGCCTACGATATAGCCTAAATAGGCTCAGGTCAGGCCAGACTTTTTTTTTTAAATAGAAAAAGCTTAGGCCTTTTTATAAGTTTATTTAGTTAAAAAGGTTAGGCCTCAGGCCATAAAAAAAAACCTTTTCCATCATAATATATACATATGCATTCAATACACAACATATCATGCATTCAATACACAAACCGCACCATTACAATCTCACACCTTTTCCATCATAATATATACATATGCATGAATGTGACTAAGACATTATTACTATCTATGTGGTACCAATCAACGAGGGTTCTTCATACGAACTAGGTTCACCCTTCTGAACCCCGAGTCCATCCTTCTAGACTCGGGACAACTTACTCGTGCACTCTTCTAAACTCGCAACTCGCCTCTTTCACATCAATGACACAAATGATGTATGACATACAATTTATGCAACAATAACAATAACATGTTTATGATCCCCCCTTTAGAACCTTAAACAACATACAACATAGCAACAATGTAGTTTCCTCTTCGAAACTACCACCACAATAAACAACGATTATGTACTCTCCACATATGGGTGGAAATATGCCAAACCGACTAGCAGGGGCCTACGATCTAGCCTACATAGGCTCAGGTCAGGCCAGACTTTTTTTTTAAATAGAAAAAGCTTAGGCCTTTTTATAAGTTTATTTAGTTAAAAAGGTTAGGCCTCAAGCCATAAAAAAACCTTTTAAGCCTATCAGGCCGGACTATTTAAATAAATATGAATAATTTGTTTATTATCACTACGTTATGTTTTATACTTTGAATTAAAATACATAAATTAAACATGGTTATTTTGGAGAATTTATGAAAATAAGATGAAAATACCTTATGAACAATGTTATAAGTAGTTTTCATAAGTTTTCTTAAACAAATAGTCTCACAAAACATAGCTAATTGGTAAGTTAAAATAAGTCAGTGAAAACACTTTTACTCTCATTGCTCTTTTAGTTTCTTAGTGTATTTAAACATTATATGAATTTCTTATTTACATATGTCTAAAATAAATAGGGTTTTATGCAGGATAACAGGCTAACCAGTCCTTCGAAAGTGTCAAACTCAGACCTAAAAATAAGCCTATGATAGGATATAGGACACGCTTAGGCTTCATTTTTTTTATTTGACATGTCAAGCTTAAGCTTGACAAAGCCTAATTCGGTCCAGCCTATTTCCACCCCTATCCACATAATTAATCATCAATCATCATAATAACTCATTTTGAATCAATCACACATTCACAACATTGCTCCTAAATAAAATATTATACTCATATCATTAATTTACATTCAGCTCCCTAAAACATTACTAAAACATTACTGGGGAAACATGTTATGTGCTAACTTTCCAACTCTTTGAACCACACCTCAAAAAGAGTCGTGAATCTCAAGTTATGATCAAAAGAATATTTGACTAAAATTACACATGTGCAATTGATTGAAAGGGACCACCAATCGATCTTTCTCACTCTCATACCTATTTTTTTATATTTTTTTAATAGCATCATTCGATTTTCATCACCCATCAATAGACTGTTCTCACTTTCCTATACATTTTGTTTCTTTTATTTTTCACATATTGGCATGAAACAATCTATTGATTCTCCCAATCAATCAATTTATTTCTTTCAATTTTTCAAATTTTTTTAAGGATCAATTGATTGACACTATGGTGCAATCGAATGACATAAGTTATTTTTTCAAAAATAACATTTTTACAGTTCAACAAAACCAATTATAATTAATTATTTCTATTTTTTCTTATTTTTTAATAATTATATTATTCCAGTTATTCTTCTTATTATAAAATTAATTAAAATTCTAATTAATTCTGCCACTCTCACTAACCCAACCACATGTCACATACTACACACATATTCGCCAAAAATCAACCAAAAACATATAATTCACTTAATAATTTAAATAAAATGCAACTTAATTTAATTAAATAAATTAATTGAATTCAGAGTGTTACAATGTTTTGTACTCAATAGGGAATTATGGCAGGAAGCCAGAAGAAATGAGTAAGAGCCTCCGACTCGGCACCTTTTAACAGGTGAACCTGTTTGAGAGAACCTCCTTCAGCAGAAGTGGGCATCCTGTCACCACAACTCCTTTGGACAAGGGAAGGAATTGGTGAAGACTCACTGAGAGAGACCCCCGCCATCGTAGTAGTCAGTTGTCCCACCTAATATACCTAGGATAGTAGTCGTAACTACTGTCGGGACAAAAAATGTAGCTGGTGCCTAAAATTCTTGAGCAGAAGTAGCAACAATAGTAGAAGTTTCCAACACCCGTCCAGATAAATCAGTTGTAAGACCCTGATCCTTGGAAAATGCAAGATCCTTCTCTAATTGATCCATGTTACCTGTAAGGCACAAGTTACACTTGTTTTAAAAAAAGGCCTCGGGTCCCCATCCCCACCAAGGAGTTTTTGCCTCTCAACCTGACTAGGCTCACTTATAATCGTGTAAGTATCAATATGTTTTTTCTTTTGCTGAGAAGAGAGCACTTCATAAGGACCAAAACCCTCTTCATAGTCGATCCCTTGATAGCAAGAGCACATATCCTCTTTCATTTTCACCTCCTTAAAAGATATAGGAT